TCCACGCCGTGTTGGGGGGGGAGCAACCGCGGGTTCTCCTAGTCTCCTAGTCAAGGTTCCAGTTAGCGGGTGCCAACTGGGACCTTGGTACCTGGTTCTGCGGTTGCGAGGCCTCTCGTCCGGATCGTAGTCCATGAGGAATCGTAGCTGCTCGTTCGGATGGTCCTGAGCTTTCTCGAAGGTCTTCTCCGCTTTTTTCCTCATGTACTCGTGGATGGTGTCCCAATGCAGGTCTCTACGCAAGGTTGAGTTTCTTACGTAGGATGGTGCACTGGTGGCGATCCGGAGTAGCTTCATCTCTAGAGCAGCAAGTCGCTTGCGGTAGCTGGGGGCAGCGTACCCCCAGACCGCGGAGGCGTAAGCGAGCTGAGGTCTGGCGATGGCCTTGATCAGCCGCAGCTTGGTCGCTAGCGGCATCCGGCTGTGTCTACCCAGTAATGGGTAGAGTTGAGCCATGGCTGCTCTGGTCTTTGCGATGACAGCTTCTATGTGGGCTTTCCAGGTGAGGGACTTGTCAAATACGATCCCCAGATATTTGACTTTGTCGCTCCACTGGATATCTTCGTCGAAGATGGATGCTTCGAGAGGTCTTGCAATCCTTCTTCGTTGAATGAAGATTGCCTGCTACCTCATGAGAGAAATTAGAAGAAAGTTGCGTCTGGTAGAGCAGAATGGGCCACTCCACACAATTCGATAGTATAGTTTAGCAAAGTATTGAGTTGTAACGTATGATAACTATTTAGTATTTGAATAAATTTCTTCATTAGAAAAATTCCAATAAATATTGTGAGCCAAAACTTTTAGGACATATGTTACAAATACGTTTAAACATTGATCCAAAGTTCTTCTGTTTTACTTACAGAAATAATGCCTGCTGGCGAAAACATCAAGTACGTTTCCACGATCAGATATTCGTATCGTGTACTTCACAAGACGCAAAAAATTGATAATTTGATTATCATAATATCTCAGTTCACATTAAAACTTTCCAAATTTCAATAACAAGTGTTATTCATACCTCAATACATATTGAAATATAGACTGATTGATACGATAACTAAGAGATTAATCAACGGATAGAGAAAATCGTAAAACCCTTATCAGTTTCATGATATTTGCAGTAACTTTGATTCGGACGAAAAACAGGTCGACCTTGAAGAGGTTTAAACAGCTGCTGGGATTTCAAGCTTTTCGTAGAGGAGGCGTGGATCCAGCATCACGTCTTGGGGAGATGGGAGGCAAATAGTAAGGGTTGCCTTCTTTCAGGGCGTATTGAAAACTCGTTTGCGTTTATCGTAATGTGATTAAGTAGGAAAATAATAAACAGCAGTATAAGAACATTTATTTAGGTTTTCAACCAAAAACAATGCGGTCCTATTTAAACTGGAAAAGACAGTATTCTCGTACACTCTGGTACGTTCAGATAAGATGACGCAACTTCATACTCATTTTCCCTCTTCCTTCTCCTTTTTCCTCCTTTTCCTCTCATTTTTTTCCTTGTAACCGATTCCTTTTTCTTTCCTCTTTATCTCCCTCTTTCCCATTACCCCATTTTTCCCTGCATGTCTGAGGCCTTGGAGGGGGCAATGGCACCGTTGTTCCCCTAGATCCGCACCTGCCGTAGAACTTTAGTGGTTTACTATCTGGTCATGTTCATACCTACAGTCCTGTTCCATAGTTATCACTAGCCAGGTGGAATCTGCTATGAAAAGCAAACTGTAACGCTAGTCTCGCATAGGTAAAACCCAATCTCTATCTGTTATTAACGAAAAATGGTACTTTAGTGCATCCTGACAATGATGTTCCAGTTATTTCGCGTCTCTTCACGATATCTTACGAATCAGGCACCTTCCCAGAAAATTGGAAATTTGCTCATGTCCAACCCATCAAAAAAAAGGACCTAAGACCGACCCTTACAACTATATGTCTATAACTCTGTTTTCTATTATAAGTAAGGTGATGGAGAGATGCATAAATCGCTCGGTTTGATTAGTGATAGACAGTATGGTTTCCGTCATCAGCGATCCACAGGGAACATCCTAGCCCAGGTTATGCAATTGTGGAGTACGCTCAACCAACCTTATGATGAGGCTCATGTCGTTGCTCTCGATATCACGAAAGCATTCCATCAGCTGTAGCACGCTGCGTTCTTATGCAAACTTCCATCCTATGGTCTCCCAAAGAAGCTTTGCAGATGGCTGGCTGACTTTCTCTCTGGCCGCACGATATCCATCGTAATTGACCGGTTCTTGTTTTCATCCCACAACGTCAACGCGGGTGTTCAGCGGGGTTAGGTCTTGGCTCCAATACTGTTTCCTCTTACATATCAACGACCTCCTTTCCTGCACGATCAACCCAATCCACAGCTTCGTTGATGACAGCACTCTACATGCAGGAATTCAGAATGACAAGCCGATCTCTATGGGTGAACTGGAAAAAAGAAAACTAGCAAGGACTTGCGCTCTGACGAGAAGTCTGGAGGATATCACTGCTTGCTCCAAGCAACAACGCAACAATCTTGTACAGTTTAATGCTTCTCTTCTACCGCTTTACCAACGAGCTTTACTCCTCAGAGCTCTCAGCTTGCGGCACCTAAAGCAACTTGAGTTCGTAACTGGACAACTTGCGTACTTTGTGGCTGTGCGTAAATTACGCCAAAAATATCTAAGTTATCACATAAGTCTAATATGGGACACACGTTTTTATGTTTATTTGTTTTATAATCTATATGGCTCGAGTGCTCTCTGTTTTGAAACAGGATTTCCGGCAGTTATGGACGATTCCAATCATTTAGTTTGCATATCTCTCATTAGAGAACATTTTTGCTCTCATATAAAAGGAAAGATTTTCGTTCGACAACTTATTGTGTTCCGATCTTACGTAAGTAACAATCATATTATTAACTTATCACTCTTTAATGACACGTTTGCTTTTGATTTTTGTGTCGCAATTGGAAATTAATATGAAAAGATCCCGCCGAGGCCTTTTAAATTTTATTTGTATCAATTCAGAATGTTGTATCTCACAACATGTTGAAGAAATGTGTCAATGGACCCAAAGTTTTTCCATGACTAGTTTCCTTGATACAAGATATATACATTTGACAATCCAATTCCTATTATAGTTTAATGTGGGTTTATTGTCCAGTTCGTAACAAGCTCGCGTCGACGCTTCTCAAACTTATACGAGAACATAATACATATACCCTGATTGTAAAAAAATAATTGAAGAGAATATTTAGTAAACACTGCTCTTTTAATGATGAATACCTAAGACATATAAGATACAAATAAAGCAGTGTTTTATTTGACGAATAAGAATTAAGTTTTGAAAACAAGGTTTTCCTATTAACTATCAAATTCAAAGCTTGACCGGAAGTCGTTCCCAGATCGCAATAATATTCATTTTTTGAGTTGTTAAGAGACAAATGGAAAAAATTAAAGGACATGGGTTTGAAAAAAAATTAATTATCTTGGGACACCCTAATATATATTCTTAGAGAAAATTTAGAACTCTATTCTCTCCACAGTTACTCGGAGATAAAGAAGTACGTAGGTCTATCCAAAAATCTCACAAAACTATAGGTGCCTATCAAAGATGCAACGTTATTATCCAGGCTACTAGTCGAACACCCTGTATAATTTTAAATATTCAAGAAATGCATTCCCACAGGGCCGGTGCAGGATAATCCTGCATGGTTTTTTGAAAGTTTGTGTCTCGATGCATGCCAATTATTGACGAAAGCCGAACAAATTAAAGGGTACTTCGAAAGTTTTGCAATGCAGCTTTATTTATTGACTTTGTTCAAAGCAATTTCCACCTCAGTCAATACAATTCTCCATCCGCCAAAACCTCGGTGCAGGCTTTGGCGCGGTGAGATAGAGCATTGTCATGGTGGAGGTTTCAAGTTTCCATTCTTGATTTTGGCCGCAGGTTTTTCATAGAATCTATGACTTTAGGCAGACCCTGTTCCGTGTACCACTGAACTGTAACTGTCTGCTGTGTGTCCAAAGCGACACGATCCACAATCCTGCTCCATCTGAAAAATACATTTTTTACTTAACAGATCGGGATTTTCTGACAACTAAGACTGTGTCCTAATCAAGAAAGACCAAAACATTGTTTTGAGCCTTGATTGGCACATCGCAATAATAGAACCGTCTCGTCATCCGCCACGATGCTGTTCACATACCGAGATTGCCCCTGATCAAACGTTTTCAGCATCTTTCGGCACCAACTCGTCCTGCTCTGCCTTCAGACTATGCGGTACCGAAGGTTTCCTTACGTATAAGAGATCATGCAGAATTGGATAAATTGCTGACGCATGAAGGTGCAACGTCTCCTCTATTTGTTGGTATGTTACTCTGCGGTCTTCGTCAAGCATTTCCCTCACAGCAGTAATGTCTCTGTTACGGATGTTTGGGGCCTCCTTTCCCGCTCAGCGTCCCCAGAGTGAAATTGCATCTTTGAAATTATCTGTATCACTTATCTATATTCGTACGATGGGGACAAGCATAATTTCTTTCAAGCACTGGTCTATGCTTAAACTATGAGTAAAGTTATACCGTACAACTGCCCCTATCTCACTACGTGACCACGATGCCATACACTGTCAAGACGAATGAACAACTAAATCAACAGACGTGCTGCTAGCGGCCACTATGCGCTCATGGACATGCCTCAACACGCACTAACATGCTGTTTCTTGCGCCCGTTGTTAAGTCAGATTACAAAACTTTTATAGTACCCTTTTATGTCTACGAGTATGTACTCTTTCGCGGCAGTTTGGATGTAAAATGCAAAATTTTCCTCTCCTGGTATGTTCGCTTCTCCCGGCTTTCTCCTAATAACGAAAAAACAAGTAAATGTGAATGCTTGAAATCTTTCAAGTACTACCAGTGCTTCTGATGAACTAATTCGTTTTTCTTGCTATTTTAGAAGCATGAAGTCCTTGGTTGTAGTTGCTACTTTGGTTCTGGTGGCTTGCGCTTCTTCTATTAAAGAAGAATGGCAGCAATTCAAGGTAAGCTTAGAATGAAATTACTTTAAAGCCGAACAAGACTTTTACCCGTAATCAATAGGAATGAACTCTATTAGAAAAAACATTCACAGATAAAAGACTGATCAAACTCAAGTAAGTTTTTCAACCTATAAGAGACGTAAAACGTCCGGTCTACTGTATAAAATGAGCAAAGACATACGTTGCCTTATTGTCACTTCTCCCTGAAACGTTTGTACTCTTTACGGACTATTCAAAAATTGCTAGTCATCGGTGAAAAAACAAAGAAGCACTACAGCACATTGGTCAGAAGTCAAATGCAAAAGTAGCGCTGTTGCTAAAATTTGCCACATTGCTGTAGATTGATAAAAACAGTTTAAATCACAGAGCTTCTGCACTACACCTGAATATGTACAGCACTCTATTCCTGTACTTGTTTTGTACAAACATGCATTATCAATATAATTACGATCAAACAGGTATAATTTTTTCCAAAGATTCCCAAATTTTTTACGTGCGATGTGAGATACCTATTGATATTTTTATCACCTGCTGATATAACAGAAGTGCTCGATTGTATCAGTATTTGCACCAATTATTTGATTTGTTTAATGGGTAGTACAGAGTCATTAAGCTAAGTACACACTAGTAGACCCCGTTGCGCAATTTGTCTATAGGCAGTCTGGAGACGGTCTCAAGTCACGATATCTAGATGGTCTATAGAGACATCCTTCTTTGTCTCGTCTAGTGTCCATACGTTAATGTGAATTTTTCGGTCTCATGTTCGTTTCCACCATCAAAGACATTGTTTTATGTGGAATGGACTGGGATATGCATCGTCTCTAGACGTCGAGTGACATCTACACTGTCGGAATGTGTGAACGTATGTACATTCCGATCGGCAGAGGTATCAGGTATCTTAAAAATTGAAATTATATCGATTTTTCTTTTGACATTATGTAGGTTTTTCTACAAGAGGTTAACTTAGCCCTTAGTTGTACGTGTAGCCTAAACTTCATGAGGCTTTAGTTATCAATGTATGCTTACTGGAGGTCTAAGATGTAACTTGTATGTATTGATGATAATTCCATTGAATTCTTGTCTCAAAGACACTTAATCAAGTTTCAAAGCTAGAAATTAGTTCCGCAGCCACTTTTTCTTATATATTCTGGGAATTCTGAATTTTAAAAATGAGAGAGATCAGAAATAATTATATTCACTCTACACTGTGGAAGTACAAACCATATACATGCTAACAGTAATTACACACAACGCTGGCGCGATGATGATTTCCCATAATTCTCCGTAATTTATAACTTTGAACATAACCTCTCTTCAGAAAGCACAACATAAAGATAACCCGTCGGGCACAGTCAATAGATATCATATTCAGTAATGATTTCTTCACACAGCAAATATCACTGATTTTATACTCATGCGGCCCAATACACATAATGATCCAGAGATACAAACTACAGACACGGATCACCAGGCCGCACAAAACTATGCAACCAATAATGCGTGTAGTTTAGTTGAGTGATTCCTCCATAGATGGACGTTCACAACGATCCTGTTGAGCAACCGTGGAATGACTGTTTGCACCCTAAAAACTACCTAGTTTGCAAGTGGACATCTTACAGGTTTTTTTTGACGTTTTGTAGGTTTATTACATGATACCCATGCGGGAGACTATAGACGTGTGATTTTTGGTCTCACATCAGTTCCGTAGACGGGGCTTGGTTTATGGACATGCCTACATAGACATCCTGAGATATGTTTCAGAGGCCAAAATCTCAACAACATGTCTACCCGTTCTGAGGATTTCCGAGCGCTTTCCATGTTTTCTTTTTCAAGTTGGCATTGACCAGATAGACCGCATTGGATTTACGGAGCGACAATAGGATAAATTTTAGAAGTTCAATTTAGACTGCAAAATTATCAGCCCCAAATATCGTTTACGCCCCTCTAGACGACATCCTAAATACGTCCTTACAATCATTTATCTATTATTATTGTTGGTGCATCCTGAAGTGGTTATTACGCAAAATGGTGAAAGTGTAGACATCAAATTGTAATCGGTGCTTTAAAAATTTCGTTGCGTTTTCAGCTGATCCATGGTAAGACCTACAGGAGTTTGGTAGAAGATAAAAACCGCTTCTCAATTTTCCAAGACAACGTGCGTATGATCCAAGAACACAATAAAAAATACGAGTCGGGTGAGGTGAGTTACTCTATGGAGGTAACACAGTTTGCCGACATGACCCAACAAGAATTCCGGGACCTGCTGAAGACCCAAGGCAAAGCTATCCGACCAAGAAATGGGCTAGAATTTGATTCCACGGGTATTGAGACAGTAACTGCAATTGACTGGAGGAAAAAGGGTGCTGTGACAGCTGTAAAAAATCAACATCAATGCAGCTCATGCTGGGCTTTCAGTGCTGTACGTATATTTTCATTCCCTTTAAACAGCTTGTTGCGTTCTTTAAGCGACACGTCTTTGCTTAAATTGGCAAAAAAAACATTCTTCGACTCGTATAGCAAACGTCTATCATCTTTTGCTGTGAACTACTCACAATTACGAAATGTTTGAATTGGTTTAGAAGAAAAAACATAACCCCTCCTTTTTTGCATAAAAATAACAATGGTCTTCCGGAATGGTTTGCGATTCGTATCGGCAAAGTACACTAGTGTATTTAGCTATAACATTCCCTTTGAACTAACCCTGTATATCGCTCAATAAACTAGTAGTGATGGCCGGAAAACAGATGTTTTGGGATGATCAATTAGAAACTCTCAAAAATAACTTGACCAATCTACTCCAATTTTGTTGTGGTTATCCAGAAGTACGAATCACATGAATTTGATGAATTTCGCTATGAGTCGGATCTTTTTGCATTTGGTCTCATTTTGTAGGTCTAATAGATACCAAAAAATCCTATATGAGAGGTTTTTTCCTTCCTGGCAACACTTTCGATTGAATCCCAAAAAAACACGTTTTCACATTATTTGTTGTCGAATAAAAAGCTTTCCCACAAAAATTGCTGTACCCATTTAATGCGTCCATGTTTTGAATACCCCCTTGAACAACTTGCAGCAATAAAAGCAGTCTTCAAAATTATTTCTCAAACCAGAGGTATTTTCATCTAATATGATTAGGAAATTTTACTTCTAGAAAACAAAACACGAATTTTTCACTTGATAGTATTTTCAGCCTATAAGAGCCATGGAACATTTTCAACTCTTAAGCTTATTTGACTTGACTCATCGGAAGTCAATGAGCGATACGGTTAACAGTTACTGCGGCTAACTAACTCTATTATCTTTTTCCGGTCAGGTTGGATCCATAGAAGGTCAGCTGTTCCTTAAAAACAAAACGTTGATCGATTTGAGCGTTCAAGAACTAGTAGACTGTGCCAACGGCAAATACAAGAACTATGCCTGCGATGGGGGGCGTATGAACAATGCCTTCGAGTATGTCATGGACCATGGCATTCAGAGTGAGGAATCCTACCCTTACCATGCCAGTCCCGGCAGGTGCAGACACAATCCATATGTAGCTAAGATCAAGTCGTTCGTTGTCCTCAAGGACGAGAAAGAACTCACTGAAGCTGTGTGTAAGTATTACTTCTACATCTGATCGAAAACCTTCCGACTTGGTATCTGAACTAATAGTTTCACCTTCTTCCTGTTACAGCTTCCAAAGGACCAGTATCTACAGCCATTGATGCTTCCACCTTGCGTTTCTACAAGAACGGAATCTTAGATAAGAACAGCGATTGTGGCGACTCGTTAATGGATCTAAACCACGGTGTCCTGACTGTTGGTTATGGAAGTGAAGACGGAGTTGACTACTGGATCGTAAAGAACTCCTGGGGAGTTAAATGGGGAGAGCATGGATACGTCAGAATTGAGAGGAATGTCAACACATGCGGTATCGCTGTTTCCAACTCCTATCCTGTCATGTAGTTTATATATATTGATAATAAATAAATTTTTGTTATAAATTTAGTTCAACTTAATCATTCAATCTATTAGCAGAGGACCATCAAAAAGCTTCTGTTGGAGATTACGTTCCGAGATACCAAGTCCATAACTGACACGAATTAGAAATGCAATATAACGTACATGTACAATGTACAAAGCCTTGAAGGTAAAAACGTCTAGATGTTGGTTGAAAATTGTTCTACTGGTTCATGATTGAGGTAAATACGTGGATGAAATTGCGTTGAATGATTTTGAGCTGGGCTTTAACAGGTCTACTGAAAAAAAAAAACGGCTGCAGCTTTAGGGGAAAAAATGTTATAGAAACCTGGGTTTATTCCAATAACTAGGGAATTAGAAGCGTATTTGGATCCTTGGGTGGGATGATGGATACACTGCTATCTGCAATTAAATCCCTGCCAGTATGCCGAGCATCGGCAAGCATCCTAGCCAGCAGAATGCAGAAAGTGGTTATCCTCGGTTCCCTCAGTCTACTTAGGGCTCACGATTTGCGGACCAACTAGTTGCTTACCTCAAGGTGTGAGGAGTGGCTACTTGTTAATGGAACAGCAGCTTGGTGTGTGGGAGCACAGGTTGCCTATTTCACTCTTTCCCAATAACAATAATAGTAATAATAATATATACATAACAAATACAAAGTATACAGTGTGTCCCAGATTCCCCTCTCTATACAGGGATCTCGGCTCCTGTCATATTTACAATTGCTTTTGAAAATATCAACGAAGAAACGAAAATGGCGGAATCTGTTTTTTTGCCAGTAAATCCAAAACAGTTCATTTGACAACTGTCAAAATATGACATTATTCGGAAATTTTTATAAGAAAAATAATATAGTATAATTCATGGCCGTCAGATTTTTCGATTTTTAAAAGGAGTGTAAAATTTCTTGTCTAGGGATGTCTCACGAGTGCATAAAAGATTCTAATATCACCGAAATATCATCACACGTAATGTTATGTATTAGTTTTTTCTAAGTAGGCCATGATTTACCAGGAAATAACATTAATGAGTAATGCATAAGAAACACATAAACGCCTTGAATTTTCAATCGAATATTAACGTTAATATCGACTTCTCAACAAGCCAAATATTCTGGGACAAATTCCCAACTATCAGTGTGTTAAAAAAGCAAGTCAGAGAAATCGTCACAAATTTATTTTACACTTGAACAAAGAAACACTTTACAAAATTGTAATGTAATGTAAAATCTTATTATGTAAGTGGGTATTAATTTACAGATTTGCAAAATAACGTCCATTTGCTTCCAGACATTTTGGACAATTAGTGACTGTTTTTCGTACAACCCTAGCTAGTGTATTTCTGATTATGTTTCTAGCTGTGCTCAAAATTCTTTGTCTCAGGATTTCTGTGATAGATAGGCCTCATTCTTTGTGTGACCCAGAGGTAGAAATCCAAGGGTGAAAGGTGATCTAGGAGGCCAAGCTATTGAACCAATTAATGAAATTATTCGTTCATCAAACTGTAAGCCGGACATCTATCCTGTTGAAACCAGGTTCTTCTAAACTCGTCTTCGGTTAGGCTGGCTCGAAAAGCCGGCACAACCTAGTGTCGCAAAAGTTCTAGGTGCAGCATGCGGCAGCACCCTCCATCCGGAAGGAGGGGATCCATACATCTCGTTACTTAATAAAAGGACCTCATTACGTCTTTATTCATCTACGGTGTCCATTTAATACGTTTCAAATTTCCTCCCCTAGCAGCAGCATCTCCTCCATGAGTTGGAGCATGCAAGCCACCAGGTAGAGTGTGACTATGTTCGTCTGTCACGACTACAGTCGGCCCCTCATCTGGATTTATCCGATTAGATCGTTTTTTATGAGGGTTTCGCTGAATAACGACCTGGGTTACCTCAGAGGTTACAACCACGGTTGCAGCCTCATCCCTGCCGGGTGCGGCGTTTAAACCTGACAGACAGTATGGTTTCCGTCACCAGCAATCCACAGGGAACATCCTAGCTCAGGTCATGCAATTGTGGAGTACGCTCAATCAATCTTGTGGTGCGGCTCATGTCGTTGCTCTCGATATCACGAAAGCATTCCATCAGCTGTAGCACGCTGCCCTCTTATGCAAACTTCCATCCTATGGCCTATCAAAGAAGCTTTGCAGATGGCTGGCTGACTTTCTCTCTGGCTGCAGGATATCCGTCGTAATTGACGGGTTCTCCTCTTCATCTCACAACGTCAACGCGGGTGTTCTCCAGAGTTCGGTCTTGGCCCCGACACTGTTCCTCCTACATATCAACGACCTCCTTTCCCGTACGGTCAACCCAATCCACACATTTGCAATGGGAGATACCTTAGATAATGACCTCTCAATTGCGGTACAGACCTGACAAAAAGAAAACGTGTAACCTGTGCGTTAAAACAAAAAATCAGTTTTTTTAAAAAGTATGACTTACGTCAAACTTTCGACGACAGGTGCCGCGTTTAGGGTTTATTTTAATTTTTTTTTCACTATTATTATTAGCGAATGATTGAAGCATGAAACTACAAATAGTTTTATTCTAAAAGTCACGTAATTTCGAAATCGCAGCGCTGTTTTGTAATTTTTTTTCTGCATCAAAAGTTTCTTGTAAGTTCGACTAACAGTGGTATAAGAAAAATGTATGGGATTTGTTTGGCAAACCTCTCCGAAAAATAGCCCAGTTAATGAAGATTCGAAAATGGTACAAATCAGGTAATTTACCTCAACAGAGTAGGAGAATAAAAATTCTTAGAGTGCAAGGGCGAAACTGGTAAAATTTCAAAATTACAATTTTTAAATCACAATTGCCTGTACGTTCAAACCATTGCGTGAAACCTTAGAATCGGCATCAAAAAGTTGTTTCAATGTCCGGTAGACTGAACAAAACACATGCTAGCTCGCTCAAGGTCCGCTAAAATTATTTGTGCTGTCGCACGTATTCCCAGAATTTAAGAAGGGGGGCAGGGGCATGCAGCGCAGGTAAAAACTTTATCGCGATAACAATACTGCCTCACTCTATACTACAACTATTTTAAACTGTAATGACTCTTACGCGTGATCAACACGTGATCAGAGCTCGATCCCGGCTTCCTTCCAGTACAGCCGTACAGCGTACGACATATGTCGTTTCTGTGGCTTTGCGGTGGTCAACAGCACAGACAGAGATGGAAATAGTGGCTGATTGTTCTCCGCCGAAAGAACCAATGAAATCAAAGACGCGCCTCGACCGGCAGACTCATAGGCGTCGGCAACGCATTGGAACGTGTTTCGTTGAGCGATCGCATATTGTGTGTTTTTATAAGAATTGTTGTGTGATTGTTATTGTTGTGGTTTCTGTGGTTACTGTTTTGGTTATACTTAACCATGGAGAGTACAAATGGCACGAGTGGAAGTACTGAAAGCCAGGGAACAAGTAGACGGCTTCGTAAAGCACTGAAGAGGGACGCGAAAGAAATCGTGCTCAACGTGTTCAATTATCTGAACAGAACTACGTCGCAGGGAGATGCACTCGCGCGTTGTGACAATATGACAGGCGTTCCAGAGTGGACCATTCGCAGGGTGGTGCATGTTTGTATTACATATTTTTCGTTGTTTTCAGTGAGTTGTGCGCGTAACATATTATGTCTGTACATTACAAGTTCAAATCTGCACTGGAATATGATACGGTTACTTTTGACGGTCTGCATATCTCTGTGAAGAACCTGAAAAATGCCATCATCCAGCAAAAGCGGATAGGGAAAAGTACAGATTTCGATTTGCAAGTTACGAACGCTCAGACTAAAGAAGGTGAGTCATATTTTCATGCTTTTCAACCAGTTTAATAGGGATTTCTCCTAAGCATAGGGGTTGCGATAACTTATACCATCCTTTTGCGTTAAACGTAAATGTTACACAATCAGAATTTACTACATTTCGTGAAATGCGATATTTATTGACCATGTAGCCTGGATTTCAGTAATTATTGATTTATGAGGATATACAGAAATCCATAGACTCTGACCGAATGATCAGTAAATGGTAAACACTGTTTCTTTTGTAGCTAGTAAGTACTAATTTAGCCTCCATAATTTAAGAGTATTTTCATCATATATTGTTCTTTACTTCACAAATCACAACTTTTCCAACCATTCCTGAAATCCGGTACCATCACTGAACATCCTGTAGATTTTTCATGATTCATTGCTGACGCTACCTGGTAAAGTCCAAATTGATGGTATCACATTTGTTATGTCAAATTATTTGCTATATTCACAATTATTTTTTTTCATATCTATAAGAATTGTATGATACATGTATTAAATAAATGCTATAATAACAGTCTGTAGAAATTCTCTGTTATCTTTCTTTTTGAACAATACTTTTTTCTAACGTTTTGTGTATTTTTAAACTTTGAAAGCATCATAGTGATTTACCCTCTAACGACAAAATTTTATTGAAATTTGTTTGTGTTTGAAATTGATGTTAGGAACTTGAAAACACATTTTTTTGCAATATTTTTATCAGTCTATTGATT